TTGTAAAGAGGATATCATGTCCACATCTTGTACAGCAGTTAACCACTAGGAAGAATGTATGCAATGTGTTAATTATTGAAACTGTCCTATCAATTTGGTTTGAAACTGTCTCATTGATATTTGTTTCTCAACAAAATTATGGAAAAACTCCTTATTTTATATTTTAGAAGAAAAGTTTAAGAACTCATATTTTTTGGAACCGCGGATTGAACTCGGGCCCTTGCACTTGCCAGGGTAGCGCTTATTCTACTGAGCCATCTGCCCGGCCCAATTTTTTATATCTGCAAATGTTTGGCAGAATTCTAGAACAATACAAAAAGGTTACTGCAGAAGCAAAACTTCTCCAGCCAGCTTAATAGAGATGTGACCATAACTGGTTAGAGTAAGTGAACTGAAGTAGCTGATTTGTATTTTAAGGTGTAACCAGCCAATAGTTATTTATTGCACTGTGTGTAAGAACTACAACACCAAGCTCTGCATGGCTATAAAAGCCCAGCACACTGGGAGGCTAAGGCAGGAATATCTTAACTTTAAGCCCAGCCTAGGAAATTTAGTGACCTAATGAGACATTTTTCAAAATAAAAAAGGTCTGGAAATGTATGTCAGAACCAAAGCCCTAGGTCCAATGCTCAGTTTTGCATTGCAAAACAAAGACATACCAAACCAAACCAAACAAAAAAATATAATAGTACATGTTTAGAACTCTAGGAGCTTACTCTGTTCCTGCTGCAGTGATACAAGCAGTATCCTTAACAGGGTTTATTTGTGATCATCTTAGTGAGAAAATACTGGGCTTTCCTTTCGACAGCCCCTGCCTACCCTTGGGAGTTTTCCAAAGGTGATGCTGAACTTGGTTTTAGTCAGTTTGTCCCATTGCTGTCTCTCACTTCTAACCCATGGGATGGACTGTGGTGGCAGTCAAGTTGGCAGTTTCTATGCAGGAAGCTGTGTGAGCCATTTGGAGCTTCCAGCCAGAGTCTGAAACTTCTAAGCACCCTTCCTTGTACAGCTTGGCACTGGGGAAGAAAGTGCTGCTTTGTTGCCCATTTGCAGTCACTTTCTGTGGGTGCTTAGTTGGCTGCCACCACAGCAGCAGCTCACTCCTATGACAGAGCTTAGGCTCTTGGTATAGAGGACAACCACATTTGAGCTTCTGGGATCCATACATTCCCGTCTATGTTCAGAATTTGTTCTCAGATATGCCATAATAATGTGCATTTATTGTTCATTGAACAGTACCCAAGACACCTGTAAATTGACCAGCTGATGGCTTTTGTTAGTGCAAAACAGGCTTTTCTTCTTTTCAAATAACAAATATTAAATGTCAAATAAATACACCTATAATGAAGAACATTTACTTCTTAATTAATTTAGAATTGCTTACTTCCATAGATTGTTGAATAACATCCAGGGT